AAATTATCGATTTACAATATAATATCAAGCTACTACTAAAGAAACGGATCCAAAATACAAGGAAGTACATGGTGAGCAAATGTAGTACTAAATTTGTTAATAATTTTATAACAATACAGCTTTGGCAGCATATAATTAGGTGTTGTGCATTTCATTCTGTTGCTTTCACTAGAAAACTTGGAAATATGAAGTAATAGTAATACATTTAGTCGATGTCTCGAGTTTCCTACGACGTGAAAAATATTTCAATCGATTGGGTTAGTCGATTGGGAAGTTGTGTCAGAACACTGAACACGAAATCCGTTTATTAAATTGAGCACTTCGTTCCGTGTGTAGTGTTACAGACACGTGTTGGTGTTACACTGAAATATTTTTACGTGTAGAAATATAAAACTTACGTATTTATTTACTATGGAAGATATCATTTCTTCATTTGTGACCTAACTATCGGAATCGCGTACATCTCGGCCACTTTGTTGTTTGTGCGTGCGCCCGAGTTTAAGGCCATTCCACTAACACCAGGATAAGCTGTATAGAAAAAACTCTACATGCTTTTATTCCCATCGTACCCAACTATTTCTTACCGTAGTTTCACATTGGACAGTTCACGCAGTTTTAGATTTTATTTTTTTCAATTGATTTACTTATTAAATATGGGCTATTAACCATGTTGTACGCGTGATGGCATGATTGTGAACACAGAACAGAGATTTATTCTGTACAGCGATGGACTAGCAACCTATAACTTATTTACTACCGCGGCTTTTATTGCTGTATGTCATTTAAAGCGGTATAGACCGAAATGCCTATACCGCTCCAAATTCAATCCCTGTAAAGGGATAGATCATTTAGATACATACAAAACCTTACCATAATTTAGTAGTCACAGTGATTAGAAGGACTTGGTGACTAGTGATATAATGATGCGTTCGTGCAAATGTTTGAGGCACGTGCAATCGATTGGGAAAAATATCGACTAAAGGAAATCTCCCATTTAATATCTCTGTTCTGTGATTTATCTTACGTTAATATTTTATTATTAATTAAGATCAATCGTCACGTGTATTTTTAACTTTATTTTTGCTAATTTCACAGCCTCATTGTCAATTAGCCTATGCGTATTAGTATTGTTTCTGTGTTGCCAATTAAATTACATTTTTTAATATTTTTAATAATATTATTATTTTTTATTTAATTTTCATAAAAATGCATCAAAACACCGTTCAAAAAGTAGCCGTATGCTATTGATAATAGGTCAGATTATCCCTTGTCACTTACTGGGGTTAGTTACTTATCGTCGTATGTATCCACAACCTATTTACCATAGTTTTGTAGATAACTTCGTTGGTTAAAGTTTCAAGCGCTATGCGGTTTTATCGAAAATTCAGGTCACATTTCTGGCTCTATCGATAGTATTTTAAATATGTAAAATACATGAGTAAAATTTTTATCGACATTTTTTAGGTAATTAAGGACTGCACTAGCGTAACCTATCAAGGTAGTGTGTGTGGCCCAAAGTTTCCAATATAATGTAGCATTTAAAACATTAACCATTTACAGCGAGTAGAACGTTTTGCGAGTCGGCCACTTACATCTATGAAGATATGAATTACAGTATATTAAAATACATATAAAAATATTACAATAATTATGGTGTAGCCATTACCCGTGTGTTCTGTTACAAAAGTCACAAGTATATTTATTGCTTTTCGCGTTACCTACTACGGGCGTCGCCCTCTAAGGTTTGAGCACTATTATTATTATTTTTAATAATTATTACCGAAAGAAGGGAGGCGCACAAAACATTCTACTAACCGCACACGTAACATCTAACCGAATTCCTAACGAACAATTTCACTCCAAAATATCATTTTTAGCCATTTTCATCTCAATATTTTATTATTTATTATCTAAAAAGTCGATGAGTTTTCAGTAAAATACTTGGTGTTTTTTGTTTCGATTCAAAACGACATTATCAAGCGTTTTTTAAGCAAAAATTTGAGAAAGAAATTATTAAAAGGACTTTTTTAACAATTTAGTGATTTAAAATATATTTTTTGTGAGTCTTCTCGTCAGATAATTTAGCACGTCCAAGCTCCCAATCTAGATTAATCGCCCGATATATTTCCCTAATAAATAAATCAATTTGGGTATACCTTACCGAATGTTCGACTAAACACCAGCTTTTATCGACATCGATTGAATAGACAGACACTATTCACATGCCAGGATTTGACTAGAGAGGAGATCATTCGATAGTTTGAAATCGATAAAAACCGATGTTCCAGGAATATAATTACAAATTATAATATAATAATAAGTTAAATGCACGCCTAAGTTTTACACATAAAATACAATTAATTGCACATACACTAAATTAATGACAGTTAATCTAAGATGAAAGAATTGATTACGAAATTATCATTAAGATTATTATTATCAACATTGATCATTACTTCAACTAACTAGTCAAAATATCAAATATTTTTTTTATTTATTTAATTATAATAGTTATTCCCAGGTGGAATATATGACTAGAATAGTTGGAATTTTCATGCTGAATTAAAACAACACAAAATACAACAACTATTTTAACCTAAGAGACGACTACGCAGTACAAGTATATAGATAATAAATAGGTACAGCAAAACTTGTGCATTTCACGTTCACCACGATTCTATACTAAGTTTTTTTCGAAACCACAAGGTTTTAAAACCAAATGAATAACATAATTGCCGTCCACGGCCGGCACTCCACCCTGACAGCTGTCAAAATGACAATAACAATTGCAGTGACGTCCATAGGCGCGAAGGTAACTCACAAATTTTCTCTAAACGAATAATAATACATCTAATAAAAAGTATTAAGACTAAAGATGATTCCAAGCTGTATCGAAATCAAGCGATTTTTTTGTCGTTTTTAATATTTTAAATAAATAATTGAGTGTCCATACCGCGCGTACTGAGTGCGTAAACAATAATAGTTTACAATAAATAGTAAACAAACGCATGCGTGACATGCGTTCGCGTCAAACGTTGACACGCCAGCCAACACCTCTTCGAGTCATTTTGTTTTTTAATTAATTTTTTTATCAAATTACTGGCTATTAGTTATTGCACATTTTACATTTATAATAAATATATAAATACTTGTAAATTTTAATTCTCCATCTTTGGTATGTAATGAGTAGATACCTATTTATTTAATATTTGAAATGTTACAAAACTGCATTTTTACGTAATATTAAGTATATATTTTTTTTACAAAAATCGTAGGGTCGTTAGGACGGCACGATATTTAAAATATCTATTCAAGTTCGATGTTTTGTAATAGGTCTTTGTCGGGTCGAATTTCTATGTTATAGAGAGACTTGTGTGACAGATTTAACGCGGCGAAATTTACGTTTAATTATTCATTTATTTAAATTAAACAACTTTTTTTTCTATTTACAAATTTCCATTTAGACTAAGACAATTAAAGCCTAGTTGGAATAGACGCAGGGCAGCATCCATACATTATTATTTAGCAGGTACCGATCATATGTTTTAACATCGAGTTAATTTTTGGGAACGATATTGTTTAGACTAGATTATGCACCATTGTTCCGCGAACGGACTCCTCCTTGTCCGTCGGGAGAGAGGGGGTGTGAGTGGGGAGCTGTAGCTGTGAGGGGGGCGGCCCGGCAGCCACCCTGACGCCTGCTCCCTCTCGCCTCCCTTCCCGTTCCGTTACTACCGTTTGCGCGGTCCCCAGAACTGGCTCAATCGATTTTCCCCCACGCTCCGCGTACTAGCCTCACTCCTTACATCCGTCAACTCCATGGCGATCTGGCATCGCCCGTCGTGTTAAGCGTAATACCACAATCGAAAATGTATCTCAAAAATTTTTCTAAATCTAACTACCGCCCGCGCCGGCCGGACACGTCCGGCCGCGGACACTCGACACCAACCATCACCGCATGATCTTTTAAAATTTTATCAAAACCTATCACAGTTTTTGATTAGTTTTTTTTTCACCCTTAATTTTAATATATGATTAAAATATACGTATAGATAATATATATTCTTCTTTCCAATCTTTAACAATATAACACTATTTTACTTCGATTAGTCGGCCAGACGTGCGGCCGCCACCCGGTGCTGTGTCGATGGTGACATCGTCCTCACGAGTTCTGCTTACCTCGTATTATACGTACGTTAATGTAATTATTACGATATGATCGCATAAAAATTGGAGCATAGCATTTAGGCTATTATTGCTAATATTATTTAATATTCGAAAACTATTTTCTCGATTACCACAACCGTTCATAAGCGAAGTTTAATATCATTATTTTGTTATTGACTATTACCAATATGTATGTTTTGCGTTCTGGCCAGATTATCCACATTTGATGTGGAGCGTGCTTATTATATTATTGCAAGTTGCGTGCGAGCGGCTGTTTGTTCAGCGCCATCTTGTCCGGACCTGCGCACAGCCCGACTGCCGCCATTTTGGTTTCCTTAACACTTAACCCAATTTTCGCGGCCGAGTGTACGCGGCGGTGAACAAAGGGCCCCCGCACATTATAGTCAAAACAGTTCTCTAGTTTTACAATTATAAAAACGCCCGCCGGGCAACCCTATCGATAGGTCGGGCCTCTCGGGAAGACACAGTCTAAAAAGTCCGGTCAGTCCGTCCGAACCTAAGCCTACGATACAACGTAGACGCTTAGCATATTTGGCAATTATCATGGACACCGTAAATGTTCGACGATAGTCACAATGTATGTACACGGTGAAAACGTAATATTTTTACATTACAACACGACAAAATACTAGATTTTCACAGAAGAGTAGCCAAGGTCCGTGTCGCGAGTGGTTCACACACAAAACTGGTAACGTTTTGACTGCGAACAGCGGCACAGTTGTGATACTGCCATATCTATGTGTGAGTATGTATGGGTGCGCGCCTGCTGTGCCGTCCTAGCGTCCGGCTAGGCCGAGTCCGGGGCGATCCCCTTAGATGGTCTTGATTTTATTAGTCTTGAAGCTGACCTGCAGCACTCTGTTACCGAGTGTGTAGCCGTTGAGCGATTGAATAGCGACGACTGCCTCGTCGTAGTTAGTCATGGTGATGAACCCGTAGCCCTTGCACTTGTTGGTCTGCAGGTCGCGGATCACCTTCACGCTCTGGACGGCACCGAAGGGCCCGAACAGCTGCCAGAGGACGTTCTCCTCGGTCTCAGGGGCGAGGTTATATACAAAGATGCACCACTCGGAGCCGACGGCCCCGGGCAGCACTCCACCGAGCAGCTCACCCGCGAGTGGGCTGTAACGCTGTAGACCTTTGTTGATAGCGAGTAAAGACTTGCCTGAGCTGAAGCGGCCGAGCGGAGCAGGGAAGCGCAGCGCTGCCGGGAGGTACGCCGCCAGCGGCGCCAGAGCTTTGCCGTTGTTGCTGGGGTTGTTCGCGAACTTCACTGTGATCGGTTCTGTAGCACCTTTAGGCACCGTTCCATTCAATTCTTGAATCGCACGCTCAGCTTCCACACGTTGGTCAAAGCGGATGAAACCCACTCCCTTGGAAAGTCCTTGTTCACCGCCGGTGAAGGGCCGCCCGCCGCTGTTCTCGCACAGGATCCGCGATGTGATGATGCGTCCGTACGGGCTGAACAGGCGCTCCAGTTCTGTCTGTGTCATTGTCTTGGGTAGGCCGGATACGTAGAGGTTTGCGCCTTTGATGGCTTCGCTGCTTGGGCGCGCGTACGACACTTTGATAGTTTTGTTCTGTAAACGCAGTCCGTTGAGTGTGGCGATGGCCTTCTCCGCGTCCTCAGGTCTGTGGTAGTTGACGAAAGCATATCCTAGGCTCTGGCCGCCACCGTGCAGTGCGTGGTTCAAGGCGTCAGGGAAGGCTGCGCCCTTGTTACGGATCAATTTGCACGATTCCACCTCGCCGATGCTCGAGAACAAACTCCGGATCTCCTCCTGGGTCATGCTCTGGGGCAGGTAGTTAATGATGAGGTTAGTCTTGGACTCCTCGCCCGAGCCATTCTGCTGTTCACCGTCGCCTTTCGACATGGTGTCGGCTTAAATCATAAACGGAAAGAACGAAAGAGGAACGGAAAAAACGCGATAAAACAAAAGTGCACGTCCGTAGGGGTAGCGCGCGCGAACGGTATTGAGGGGATGTCGGTGGCGCTGCGCGCAGCCGCGCCCTATCGACCGGCGGCTTACATAACTCGGTTCGTTCACCCTCCCGGTGGTATAGTGTCCGAAAAAACCAGATCTACCCCGGGCGGCATCGATCGTACCGCCCCACCCTCCCCAACGTAATACCGTTCCGTTTCCACGAGCATTTTCGGGACAGCTAACAATTTGTATTTTAGCGTAAGAAGGCCTCATGAAAACGCGGTAGAAACTATATCCCATACATTCTTTCTCACCATTGTTATAAATAGATTCAGCAAAAATCCCGAATAACCTGCTACATAAAGAAAACTACAAGTGCTCATTGAATGAGTTGACACTTAAATACACCCCTCGTATAAATAACAATAGAAAACAAAGTGAACAATTTGAACAAAAAATATTGTTCACAAGGAACAAAATTTATGTTAATAAATAAATAAATCTTTTAATAATTCATGGGTAAAAAAAACTAAGAATAAATTATCATTAATTTATTTTTTCACTAGTGTAACTAAGTCTCAAGTCTAAGATCTATTTTAAATCAAAATGTCCCACGCTAACATATTTATTGATCAAATAAATAAATATTTTTATATTATTATGAACTCTTTGTGCGCGTTCTTGGTAGGTACTAGGAACGAGTAAGTATGAATACCTAATGAATTCGTAGGCGGCAACCACTTAAATAAAATTATGTCTATTTTTAGAAATTTTACTGGAAAAATATTTTATCTACTTATACAAATAAATAAAATTGGTTATTTGCACGATACTATTGGCTAAAAACCAGTTTCAATATTTTTGGTCTGTCTGTCTGTCTATCTCTTTGTTACGGGTTATCTTCAAAACGGCTGGACCAATTTTAATAATATTTTATTACCAGGTAGCTGTCTAAATAAGGAGTAACTTGGGCTATCTTTTCTCTCAGAAAAACCCTATAAAATTTTGCCCAGTCCGGAAATCGAACCCGAGACCTCATGGACAGCAGTAGCGTACCGAATGGTGAAAATTGTACGTGCATTAAATAGGCGTAGGTTCTTTTTTCAATGAATATTGCGATATCCACAGTTTTATTGTTCCGCTCATAGTTTATTTGTGATTTTACATAATTACCAGTGTGTTAAATATGACGCCTACATACAAATATCATGTTAGGTTACTTAAAATCTGATGCTACAGGGTACATTAATAATAATATTTTCGGACATCTAACACACAACGCCATCTAGTTTCAAACTAAGTAGAGCTTGTACTATGAAAGCTAGATCGACTGATAGAATACTTATATACATTTTTATACATATTATACATAGGAAACATCCAAACGCCGAAACAACCATTTGCAGATTCTATAAACTTTTGGTCTAACCTGGGAATCGAACTGTTAGAGATGCCTTATGTAAGCATTCCTGCACACCCCACACTTCTACTCTGCACACTCAGCATTTCTCCATCAATAGCCGAACGACCCGTCCACTCATGACCAGTCTCATCCCGATATCCAAGCCAGACGGTTGTCTTAACCCTATTTAGTATTTTATTTCTTTTTAAAAAGACAAGTTCCCCGAGACTCGTAACATATTTGGTGGCAGCGTTAAGGGATTCGAAAAGAGTCCCCGGTACGTCTCTTAAAAAGTTCAAATTCGGCGCGAGTGTATTTGAGTGTAATTGCCGACTCCATAGTGTACAAAGTGTCAGTGCACCGAGTTCGAGCCCGACTCCTGGACGTCAGTATTCGTGATAAAGCTTGTGAAAGGCCCATTGCTGTGCACCACCCGTGCTGCAGCCGGTCTTTGTCCAGAACCAGAAGGATTACACCCATTGTCACGCCAAGTTAGTGCTGTGACCGGTGTAATATCTCCAACGACGCGACGACCTTCGGCTTATCAACGCCTACGCTTCGCCTGTGAATCTTCCAAGAAACCATGTCCGTTATTCTTATCGCGCTGTCCGCATTCCAGTAAGTGAAACCATACACTTGGTCATTGCTAACATCTTATTTAAAACTAATACATTATATTTGAGATTTTTAAATATCATTACTCTATTCTGTAACGTATTCCGTCACATACGTATATTGTTCAAATTATTGTTATTTCAACCTTATTGTGTATTTGTAATTGTTAAGATGACTGAGAGATCCCAAAGTCCAAAATTGGAAATTAACATTACTGATACCGAAGAGGAAGGCCAAGGCCTCTGCCCTCCCCCTCAAGGACCTTCTACTAGATCACAATCAAAAAAAATTAAAACTGTAACATCTAAATTAGAAATTGAGCTTTCCACGTTATTAAAATTCATAAAGCCATACGATGGCTGCAGAGAAAAACTAAATTCCTTCTTAGTAAACTGCAATAACGCCTATGAACTAGCATCAGAATCACAAAAAGACATACTCTTTAAATACATTCTATGCCAACTACAGGGCAAGGCGGAAACCGCATGCTCCATCAAAGAATTTTCAAATTGGCAACAACTGAAAGAATTTCTAAAAACACAATTCAGTGAAAGAAAGCACTATGCCCATCTTTTAACAGATTTACAGGAGTGTAAACAACAAATAAATGAAAATGTAAGTCAATATGCTCTAAGGATCGAGACATGCCTGTCTCATCTGTTAACCGAAATATCTATCTCACACGGTCATAAAGGTCGAGAGATGATAGGACGCACGGCAGCCATGGAGGAATTAGCCCTCCATCATTTCCAAATGGGATTGACACCCCGTATCTTTAACATTGTCAGGGGTAAACCAATAAAAACTCTAAATGAAGCCATAAATATGGCCATTTCAGAAGAAAAAATACAACAGTCCCTATCCAGACAAGGTCCGAATTCGTTAAGCACTCAACAACCACGACAAGATAGGTCAAACGCTACAAAACTAAACACTCAATTTATTCGTCGTAACCAAAATCAACAACCCTCGACCTCAAACCAGTACAACGTAAAACCTAACTTTAATAACCCTAACAGATCTAATAATAACTACAACAATTCTTCTACTCAATTCTGTAGGTACTGTAAAACGCCAGGTCATACCTTAGAGCAATGTCGGAAAAGGGAGTTCAACAACAACCGTTTCAAGAATTTCGACCCGAATCAGCAAAGAACGCTACAACGCGTCAACTTCATTTCCGACGAATCCTCAGACAATAACGATGGATATTCGGCTAACCCCACAGAGGGTTATGATACCGTTGATGCCGATCCAAAAAACGAGTAATCGTCTCGTCCCGGTGCCGTGCGGGACGTCATAATTCAAAAAACGGTATCACAAGTCCAAAATCCACTGTATCCGTGCAGCAACATCATGTTGATCTGCCAAAATCCTCTGTATCCGTGCAGCAACATCATGTTGATCTGCCAAAATCCTCTGTATCCGTGCAGCAACATCATGTTGATCTGCCAAAATCCTCTGTATCCGCGCAGCAACGTCATGTTGATCTGCCAAAATCCTCTGTATCCGTGCAGCAACATCATGTTGATCTGCCAAAATCCTCTGTATCCGCGCAGCAACGTCATGTTGATCTGCCAAAATCCTCTGTATCCGTGCAGCAACATCATGTTGATCTGCCAAAATCCTCTGTATCCGCGCAGCAACGTCATGTTGATCTGCCAAAATCCTATGTATCCGTGCAGCAACATCATGTTGATCTGCCAAAATCCTCTGTATCCGCGCAGCAACGTCATGTTGATCTGCCAAAATCCTCTGTATCCGCGCAGCAACGTCATGTTGATCTGCCAAAATCCACTGTATCCGCGCAACAACGTCATGTTGATCTGCCAAAATCCACTGTATCCGTGCAGCAACATCATGTTGGTCTGCCTAATTCCACTGTATCGATACAAAAACAAGGTAAACCGCCAAAACCTTCTAAATCAAATATTTTTGAAATTACAAATAACCCTGCAAAAACATTATTACCACACGTTCTAGTTAATTCCTCCGTATCAGACATCCCGCTATCCTTGTTAGTAGACTCAGGGTCATCTGTAAGTTTAATAAAACATTCATGCATAGAAAAGCACCCTAGACTTATCAAAGAAACGATTCAATTAAAAGGCATTGACTCGAAAGAAGAACCCATCAATACTCGAGGCCACTTCCGATTAAAATTACAGCTTTCTAAATCCACAATATCACATCCCTTCCACGTCATTGACGTAATACATTTACCTTATGATGGAATTATCGGCTCCGATATGCTGAATATGCATAACTGCAACATTAATTATAATAATAATCTGCTCCATCTGGGTAATTCATCCTTAAAATTACACTTTCATGATCCCGCTTACTTAATTCCTGCTAGAACCGAAACCATTATTGAGTGTTCTGTGTCTAATCCTGAGATAAAAGTAGGGGTAATCCTCGATCAGAAGTTTTCAGAGACTTTATTGATCGCCAATTGCATAGTACGCGTAAAAGAAAACAATCGAATTAACATATCCGTCGCTAACACTTCCGATAAACCCATCACATTAAATTCGAACCTAAACCTAAAACTTAATCCTATTGCACCTTCAGAATTCAAGGAATACCCAGCTAGTTCAATAAACCATATACGAGTTTCAACCAATAGCGTCGAGCGTACAGCAGAAGTATTAAAACAGCTACGCGTATCACATTTAAACGAAGAAGAAAAAACCGCTCTTCTGCAATTATGTTCCGACTTCTCTGACATATTCCATCTTCCAGGAGAAAATCTTACCCATACTAATGCCCTAAAACATGAAATTAAAACTACAACGGACATACCAATACACACTAAATCTTACAGATTCCCCGAAATACATAAAGCCGAAGTCCGTAGACAAATGGATAAAATGCTGGAACAGGAAATTATAGAACCCTCTGATTCCCCCTGGTCATCGCCAATATGGGT